AGAGCCGAGGTTAAGAGCCGAGGTGGCGCAGTAGTTAGGGTGCAGTACTGCAGGCCACTTCAGCTGACTGTTATGTGCAATTCAGCGGTTCAAATCTCAAGGTTGACTCAGCCTTCCATCCTTCCGAGGTGGGTGAAATGAGGACCCAGACTGTGGGGGCAATTTGCTGACTCAATTTGCTAAAAATCTGTAAACGGCTTAGAGAGGGCTGAAAACTCTATGAAGCAGTATATAAGTCTAATAAATAAATAAATAAATAAATTGGGCCCATCCGCCTGCCTTCATTCCTTACCTGTTTTTAAGCCAACTGGGCCATTTGCGCACGCATGAGCAGTGCACGCCGCCTGTGTGTGCTTTGCCGAGCAGCTGGAGTGTCACAGGGCAGTGGTGTGCGCATGCATGCACATCACGCATGCCCAAGGTGGACACCTGGCCCCATTGCAGCATATCAGTTGCGATGGGATCTGGAACCCACCACTGACTAGAAGGCAAAACATTGATGGCAAAAAGAATTAAAATGAGGCTGTCAGATCCTTTAAATGCCTTAAAAGTGTGTCCCATTCTCTTGAAAGATATGATCTAGTTCTGCAATTGAAAATGTACTAGAGTATGCAATTCTTTTCTAACAGGTGCCGCTAGCCATCTGGCTGCACAAAGGAGGCTGTAATTTCACAAATCTTTTATAGTTCACTAATTTCTGTTTTAAGGACTTTGCAAATTATGTAAATTTATAAGGGCAATTTATAGATTCTATGTAGTACAGTATTTTAAGTGCCTCCCAGCATATCAGATCACTGATGTTATCTATTGAGTATGTGTTGTTCAAACTAATTTTTTTCATTGGCTCTTTGACAAGCCTAAAATTAATTTGAGTCACCCTGGAAAAAGTGTGGAAATGGATATACCCAATGCTATGTCTTCTACTCAATGCTGGATGTCTCCGGAGGTGTAGAGTGTTTGAGTAGAATTAATATTGGATATTAATCTTCTGAAAGAAAGGAGTGTGGATAACAGACAAGAAACATTTATTGCTGATTATTTATTTAACCTCAGGTGCAAACTGAAGAAGAGTTTTTACCTAAAGTACCAGAGGGGAATTTGATAGCATTCTCATTGATCAATGTATACGTCCATACGTGAGCTAGAAATAGAATTAGTGGTTTATGTACTATTTCAATGTCAAATGGCATTCTAATCAATTTATATGACTTTTTTGGCAGAGAATTTAGAAGAAAGATAAAGGATTTATTACCAACTATTACCTTACTCCTAGATCAACTGTGGAAGTTTCCAATAGTTCTATTTACTATCAAAGCATATGTAGCATACACAGCACTCAACATACGTCAGAAGTATTAACATGAATTATATTCCTTGCTAAATATAAAGTTGTAGTTTATCATGCATGATTTGTTTCTTTTCTCTTATTTTAATTTTATTATTTCTGCCTGAACATAATTTGTAACACATTTTTAGTACAATTAGGGACACGGCAGCTGGAGGGATGCATTGGCTCAATGCTAAGATGCTGAGCTTGTCGATCAGAAAGGTTGGCAGTTTGGCAGTTCAAATCCCTAGCGTCGTGCAATGGAGTGAGCTCCCATTACTTGTCCCAGCTTCTGCCAACCTAGCAGTTCGAAAGCATGTAAAAAATGCAAGTAGAAAAATAGGAACTACCTTTGGTGGGACAGTAACAGTATTCCGTGCACCTTCGGCATTTAGTCATGCTGGCCACATGATCACAGACATCTTCGGACAGCATTGGCTCTTCAGCTTTGAAATGGAGATGAGCACCACCCTCTAGAGTTGGGAATGACTAGTACAAGGGAAACAAAAACCTTTACCTTTACTGCTATTAAACTATACATACAAACACCACCAAGATCTGAAATTCTCCTTTAGAGTTAGCTTCCAATAAGCATAGGAATGAAAATAAAATAATGATGAAGAAAAGGAAGAGAAAAACAAAGAATGATGAAAGGTTGGGGAGAAGTACCATCTGTTCTAGTAACTGCAGTACTAGCAAGGTGTATATGTAATTATTTTGGTGGCCAAATATATATAGTATAAGCATCTTATACTATTTGGGAAAACTGATGACTGAAGATAGCTTAATGCACAAGGATACATTTTCAATCATCACCAGGAACAGACATATCACAGTTCTGGGAAGTTGCCTGACATAATAATAGTAATTTTTAAAAACTCCAAGCACCTAACTCCCCGATATGTCTCTATTTTCTTCCTGACTTGTATCATACAATTTGTAATTGAGAAAGCATTTATGTTGTTGAATAATGCAAACAGATGGAGGGAGAAATTAAGAGGAATTGGCAAGGTAGAGAAGATGAATGTTCAGCTGAGACTTGAAATGAGCTGGAGAGTCAATGAGGCAGAGCTGGGGAAAAGATGTTCCAGATGGTCAGACCTGCACAGGAGAAAGTTTGCAACACAATAATGTTAAGACTGGTGGGATGCAGGGGAGAAATATGGCAGAAGGAAGAATGAGACAAAGCACCATGTTTCAAGTGGAACATTCTTTCAGTCACAAATGCTTAGCTTTACTGGTCTTTTCCAAAATCCTCATGGTCCATTCAGCAGCTAGTTTTACTTTGCCATTACTCTGGGAACAAACAGACTTGTGATGCTCAAACTCCCATCGCTTGATAAGAATACTTTATTTACTATTCCATAGAGAGCAAATGCATTTTAAGCTTCTTTATGTCTGTTTGAAATTTGGTATTGAATAGTGGGGTCTATCTAAAAAAAAATAATAAGAATAATAACTATCAGCTAGACTTTCTTCTACTGTGTAAACAAATCTAGTCCCAGTTTTCCTTAGGATCAATTAGATTATGGCTGGTGAGGCAGTCCTCTTCCCCGACACTCCACTGACTAAAGTACTTTCTTTCGCCCGCCTGAGCTCGCGGCAGCCTGCCTGAGCTCTGCCGCGAGCACAGGTGGGCGAAAGAAAGTGACTTTCAGGCTGAGCATTCTCTCCTCTCCCGCGACACCCCACTGACTAAAACACTTTCTTTCGACTGCCTGTGCTCGCGGCAAAGCTCAGGCGGGCTGCTGTGAGCTCAGGTGGGCAAAAGAAAGTGCTTTAGTCAGTGGGGTGTCATGGGAGAGGAGAGAATGCTTGAGCATTGCATTTATTAAAGAAAAAAGAAAAAAAGGAAATTTGAAGGAAAAGAGGGAGCGTGGGGTGGGGTGGGGGGCATCAGAAATGGAGAAAGAGGGGAGGAAGAGTGAGCGCGATGCTGCAGCTTTAAATAGAATGACAGAGTTGAAGCCTCTAAAAATGCACCCTCTACTATGAGGCAGGAGAACTGCGTGCCTCAACTACCNACAAACCAGCATACAGAGACACTGCAGTTTAAATAGGCTTTTACTTTCGTGGAAATAGAATCCCCCAGCTGCTGGCTGGGGGATTCTGGGAGTTGAAGTCCACAGGACCTAAAATCGCCAAGGTTGAGAAACACTGGTTTTCTGTCTGAGCAGATGGTTGAACGAGAAGA